TTTTTTTTCTTTTGTAGGTCCAAGACGCGACTGGATCCTATTTCGAAGGTATATATATCCCTTCGAATTTTACTTTTTTTTATTTTTAACGAAAAGTTTTATTAACATTTTCATTTTTTTCTTTATAGGTTTATTTTGGAAATCAATTTTTATCTAGTATTTAACATATTATATAGATTTAAAATAGCCATAGATATTATATTAATTAGTTAATAATACATTTGTATAGTATAATGATAGTATAATAATAAATAACGCATGTATTTTAATATCATTAATAAATGTGTTAATTAATCGTAATGTACAGGTGATGAACATCTTTAATTTGGCGATGAACATCAAATGTTGTGACATCAGTAGTACATTGCAGGGTCCGATGTTCAGCGTTTCTTTATGATGTACATCAAGTGACCGATGTACATTTGATGAATATTTTTCCCGTGACTTCCTGATGTAATTTATTTAATAAATGCTTTTTATTAAAATATAACAGAATTATCTATTATTACATTGATTTAGAACGCATGTATTTATAACAATAAATTCTATGCTAATCATGTTAAGAATATTAAATAAATGCTATATATTTAACAAATGTAATATGTTAAATATGTGTTATATATTTAATATGTTGCATATGTTTAACATGTTAAACATATTAAACATTCGTAACATTTGCAACATTCGTAACATTCGTAACATTCGTAACATGATCACTGGTCATGTGATTATTCGATTAACAGTATTCAAAAAAAATATTTTGATATGATACGCCAAAAGTTATTAGATAGAATCACGTTTATCAAGTCACGTGAGAGTAAAATCAACAATAAGAATACAACAATGAAAACTTTTTTTAATTTCTCGTACAAAAGATATAGATTTCATTTTGGTATCTTTATCCCTTGTGACCATATGATTGAGACAAAAGGCTTATCTATTCTACCTCGACCTTGTGAGGTTCCTTGTCCTATAGTAATGTTTAATAAGAGATATGGATGTGGCTTACATTTTTTTCACAAATACCCAGCTGCAATAGCTTTTGTACGAAACGAACATGGTGATTTTACATGTAGTAATCAACATCAAAATAAACAGTTCCACGCTAATTTGACATTTGACCGATGGATAAAAAAAGAATCAAAATCGATATTCTCCTCAAGAACGGGCATCTCTTATAACTCAAAATATGTTGTTTGCAATTCAAATCGTAAACTCAGACCTGGACGTACTCACATTTATCACAAACTTATGAATAACTTCCAACTAACTCCAAGTCCTAATCTGAGGACAGCTAAAAAGCAGCAAATTAGATTCGAACGCTCTTGTCATCGTATCTTATCACAAGAAGTTACTAAACCAGGAGCTGTTTCCAGTACATCAACGAAACTGGCCACGGCTAAAAAAGGACGATTCCTTTTCTTACCATCTCAAAAATTTACGACTCCTCTCAAACACTTACGTTATAAGAAAACTGTTGATATTCCCAAACAAAAGGATTATAATTTTACTATTCCTCATTATTTTGGTACTAATACGAATACGACCAGCCGACCAAAGGCTACAAGTAATTTTTCCATTGCCACAGCTACGACTTCAGCTTCAGTTCTTAACAATGAAATATTATATACGGTCGCTCCTTATAATCCTACTCCGGACATGTTTATTCCTCTCAAATATCGAGATATAATACCACCTGATCCTATTTATGATCATTTTGGTTCATTTATTGCCCTGGCTTTAGGGAATGGTTTACTTATATGTATCAATTGGATTTAGATACCCATGATGAACGCCTTAGAAAAGCAGATGATGCTAAATTTACCGCTAGAATTGATGAACTTACTGTTGAAGGTGAAGCTTCTAGAGTTCGTTATCAACAGCATCTAGAAGAACGTTCAAAGGAAATAACCGATCTTATAATACAAGAAGATATTAGAATTCATGATTTAGCCTTATACCATGGCACTAGTTCTAAAAACGTTAAATATTGACAACGTCAAGTGTCTGATTTAATGAGGTGGAGCGATGTTTATCATGTTAATATGAAAAATTCTCAACCTATTACCCCTTCCAAGAAAAAGAAAAGCAAAAAGAAGAAACTCTTACAATCGGAAATAGATTCTTTTTTTATTAACTACCCTGGCGTATTAGCTCCTCTTAGTTTAAAGTGTATTACCACACGATCAGTATTCTTTTATAAGGATAATACACTCCCTACCGAGTCATCCACGTCCGATGACACCAAAGAAATTGAATACCGTCCTTCGAAACATAATGATCGCAACTTTGATAATAACTCGAGTTCTTATGGCATACGTAAACGCTCTCGCCTAGATACTCCTTTAGCTCTTGATTCTGAGCAGGCAGGATCGTCTAAATAATTTTATTAATGTTCTCATATCTGAATTCATAGATTAGTATTTCATTATTTTGGAATCATTTTTATATATAGACGTTGTCTATTTCTTATTTATTTTAATATTTTTAAACTTACAATGATAGTATATACAATAAGAATAGTGTTTACCATTCCACCTATGACAGTATTTACAGGTGGTGGCTTAGGCCAAAAGAAAAATACGGATCAACTAACTTTTCTTTTTTTTTAGATTAGCTTTTTGATTGTTCCCATTTGATTTTTTAGCGTAGTCCTACTTTATCAAATAGTACAGATCGAAGAGTGGGGTCCCGTAGGGGATGACGAACAAAGGTCTATACACATATATTAGTTTCAAGTCTTTTTGAACTCTTCCTTCTTTTATTTGTAATAGTCTGGGTTCTAACACTCTTTTAGTAATAAAATAAATAAATAAATATTTTGAAACCTTGGGAGGAAAAAAAAAAAAAAAAACTCTTTCCCCTTTTTTTATTTTTGTTAGTTTTCCACAGTAAATAGCGTAGGTTTCATTATAAGTTTTATTTTATAAACACTCTTAAGAGGTAGAAGCCCGGAAGGGTGCCTCGGGCATAAGATGAGGTTTTACTGTTCTTATTATACCCAAACCCAAGGAAATATGTCCTCTTTTCTTCGCATAGACGATTATGAAAGTTACGAAAAACCAAATAATGATTTCACTAACCTTAACCAACACTCTAATAAAAGAGTTTTAGACAAAATTTCTACTCGTAAAGATATTATATCTCACGCTCCTTCAACTCCTTCTTACACTTCTCATAGTAAAAAACCTTTTAATAAACCTTCTTCCTCTTCTTCGCCGGTGGGAAAATTTCCGTTTTTCTAAATTTCACGTGACCCGTCCAAATAGGGCTGGATACAACAAGATTTATGAAATCAGACGATCAAGAAGTTACTTTTTCAAGTTAAATGATCTACCTCAAAACACCAATGATATTCATCTTAAAATTTACACAAATGATTATCATATGAAAAGTACCCCTATCTTTTATCACAACACGAGCTCAACACTGAATGACAAATATAGAATTAGTTGTATGCTTACACACTTTTTTTCTTCACAAAGAGTTTTACCTCGCAAAATACAACAAAAATTTTTTTCTTTTATTCGAGATAGATTATTGGCTCGTAAAGAAATGATTTCATCACGTGCTAATAATTTACGTGAACATAATACTACGACTCGTACTTTTTTTAATTTCACATATAAGAAATATCATTTTCATTTTGGAATATATCCCTTGTTCTCAACAACCATCACATTCACCGTTTTACACCCTTGTAATAAATGTCAAGTTCCTAGCCCCTTTGTTATGTCTCAATGTAGACGCTCCTGTGTTATGCATCAACAACTTTTCTTTCGTAATGATACTTTCAATAATGTCCGAAATCATGGACGTCAGGACCTCACCTCAACCATTACTACTCCGGTCAACGACAAGCGCTCACATGCTAATTTGTTACATGACAGATGGAATTGCAGATGGAAAAAAGATGTTGTATCCCAACGATTGGGAATTAGTTATAAGGAATCTTATCTTGCTCGTACTAAAGGCTTAGTTATACATCATGTGAATAAGCAAATGTATCGTAAATGGCTGGACACCTTTTCAGTTACGCGTAGTAAAAATGCTAAAATAGCGAAAGCGCAGAAAATACGCCATCATAGGGCATGCCGATGAATTTTTCATGCCAAGGAACATAATCGCCTTGATACAATGAAGCACCAGCTGATTACTGCTCAACGCTACCGGTTTTTATTTTTACCATCGCAATATATCTACAAGCCGATTAAATATCTTCAATACACCCATGGTCTTGATTATCCCGACTATGGCTTCAAGATTCCTTACAATCAGGAGATTACTCCCAAGAAAGACCTTTTAATTTATACGGTCGAACAATATAACCCTATCCCGAATGGGTTTTTTCCGTCAAAATACAAAGACATTATTCCTAAGAAGCCTCTTTATACGGCCTCAGGTGAATTTATTATTCCTGGATCTCGCGAATGGTTTACTTATATGTATAAGTTGGATCTTGAACGTAAATCAACACCACCTCCTTCACGCTCATCTCTTGAGGAACGTCAACAATTGCTTGTCAAAGAAAATGATCGTATTCAAGACCTTATTAAAGGGAAAGGAAAGCAAGAAGCTGCCCTACACGGCACAAGTGTTAAACATTACGAATGCCATAACTGAGCCATAAAATGGCATTCTTTACGATCTGAGTATCACCACCAAAATATGTCGAATCTCGCTTCACGATATAGCATGATGGAAGGTAATATTAACTTCCAACTTAAACTTTACCAAGAAATGACCACCTTCAACGATGCCTTTAATCTTGGAAAGAGCATATCTGTTATCCCACCTATGACGAATGATGAACTTTACGTTCCTTCTAAAGGCGGAAGATATTATATTAACAATCCTTCGCAATAGGATTCGAATGTCATTACTTCTGATGATACCAAGGAAATCGAAAGACGTCCATACAAACGTCTTACTACATCACACTTTACCCATACCCATATATGGTTCCATTGATCGATTAAAATGAAGGCGTTACATCCCTGCTAAAGCTGACGACTCTTCAGAAGCAGATCCTTCAGGTTCCTCTGCTAATATATAATTTTTTTTTAGTTTTAGAGTCAATTATTTTCGTTATTATATTTAGGTTTCTTTTCTTAATTTGTATATGCTATCATGCTTTTGGTTTTCTTTTTTATCTTTTTTTTAGATAACAATTTAGAATAGTGTGAATCATTCCAACCATGACAGTATTTACGGTTGGTAGCCTTTTGGTCAAAAGAAAAATATGGATCTTTTTTTATATAGATTGTTATATATTTACATTCGTTATGGTTTTCTTTTATTATCATGGATGTTCCTTATCCTTACGTTGGCCGTAGCGGTAAGATAAGCTATGGCCCTCTTATATAATTAGAAGTTAGGGTCCTTCCTTGAGCTTTTATTGGTTCCTGGCGGGATGATGACAAGAATTAGGATTGTACTCCGATGGGAGTTTATCCTGTTTATTTGGCTGTCTGGCTTCACATAAAATAAATAAAATAAAATAAATATTTTGAAACCTTGGGTTTTTTTCCTTAATAAGTTAGTTTTGCCCTTTTGATGATCCTGCCATTCTTCACATAAAATAAAATAAATAAATAATATTTTGAAACCTTTCGCTATTTATATTAAATTAGTCACTATGTATAGCATTTAATAAAATTTTAAACTATCAAAACTTTCCCCTTTTTAAAATTTAAACTTTATCGAAACTTTTCCTCTTTTAGAATTTTGAACTTTTTCGAAGAAACGTTTAATAAACGATTTGATTTTTTATTTTTTTATTACTAATTTTTGTCCTTTTTTAACATGTCAATGACCAAAATTTTTTTTAAAAAAAAACTTTTTCTTTTAATCGGAAATTCTTAATTTTTTATCATCTTTTTTACTTATCAATTTACTTTTATTTTTGAATAAAAGCATAGAAAGAAAAGGATTTTTATACTGTAATATTGAAATAATTTATCTTTTTTTAAAAAAAGAAGGAACTGACCATTCAGCTGAGTATATTTTACCAAATCCATCTTTGTAGAGAAACCAGCTCCGAAATGATCCGAAATGGGCGCTGGATTTCCAAGTTATGGTTTAAAAAAAAATTTTTTTTTTATCCCAGGTAAGTTTCAAAAGAATGAATTCTAGACTATTAAAAGAAATCATTTCTGACCTTTTTTTCTTTTTTAGGAAATCGGCTTCAACATGAAAACCGGAAATCCCAAATATTGAAAAAAATATATTCAAAGCTTTTAATTAAATTTTTTTAATTTTCCTTTTTTATAGGAATCAGCCTCAAAAATCCAAATAAGTTATGAAAAATAATTTGAAACTTTACAGTCCAATATTCCACAGTGTTCTGAAACTGATTTAACTTCAGTTGAAAAAATCTTCGATAATCGATTTCATTTTCTAATTCATGATTTTTATTTGAGAGTTTCTTTTCAAGTTTACTCATCAAATTTATACACCCCAAGAAATTTTTTAAACTTTCTTTAAACGTTTATTATAGAATTTTTCTAACTATCACCGGGGTGATGATCACCGGTGGCTGAAATTATGACGATCAACCAGCATTAAAAATATAGTGCCGGTAAAAATTGATGTTTCTGGCCAAAACCTGCCAAATGAAGTTTTAAAAAATTTAGTAATAGCATTTACTTTTGCAATTAATTTAAAAGCAAAAAAATATCCCATTATATCACATGTAATCAACAGTACAAAATACATCTCATATCAATTAAATTTAGATATTTTTTTGGCGTTTAAGCTATATTTTTAAAATTAAAATTACAATACAAGGTTGGAATTTCCTTAAGTTTCAGAGACCGAACAAAAATGCACTTTTTCATAAAAAAAAAAAAGAAAGAAAATTTTGGAATAAAAATATTTGGTCAATATGAAAACTAGTATCATGATTATTCTTTTCCCATACAGTATTACAATTTTTAATTTAGACATTAACTGTCTGATAAAACTTACAAATCTAAAACTACGGTAAAATATGTTCATGCGAACATGCATCTGATCATATTATCAGATAACATTAAACATGAACTGATCAATGATCAATTTTTTTAGTGAAAATCATGTATTACTTGTAGTGTGAATTTTGTTGACTTATTTTGTGCAAATAAATAGTCTAAAATCAAATGTTCTGTGTTAAATTTTACTGGTCAATTTTGAGAGTACTGGTAATTTAAAAAATATAATGTATGAATAAAATTATTAAATATAGTAATTATAGTTAATTTCATCCTTTATTTAGGTAAGTAAATTTCCCAATAGTTTAGTAATAAATTAAAAATCTAACTTCAAAAATATAACTCTTTAAAAAAATACATGATGATTTTACCCATAAAATAACATTTAATGTCGCATTACAAGAAATTTTAATAATATTAATTAATGCTGATTTGCCATATAAATTTATCTGTAAATATATTTAACATAGTTATAAATTAAACATTTCAAGATGTATACACTACATTTATAATACAAATGATTTATTAATAAATAACTGAAATTGTTTACAGATTACAAATAAATTTACATAAATAACTTGGTTTTCATTATTCTAATCATACTTGAGCATCTTCATATCCTTGTTCTGTAGATTTTTATACCAATAAATTGTTTTATCTATATCCTTTTCAACATCTTTTCCAATTTTATAAAAATAGCCAAAATTAGACATGCCAACTATATTCCCATTATTTGCAGATTTTTCATACCAATAAAGAGTAAGTTTTCATATCCATTACTATAACAATACCCAGTTGGTTTTTGTTAATTCTTCTAATTTATGTTGAGCATCTTCATCACCTTGTTCTGCAGATTTTTTATAACAATAAATTGCTTTATCTATATCTTTTTCAACACCTTTTCCATCTTTATAAGAACTTCCAAGGTTATACATGGCTACTATATTTCCATTATTTGCAGCTTTTTCATACCAATAAAAAGCAAGTTTTGGTTCTTTACTTATGCCATATCCATAATCATAACAAAACCCAGTAAACAACTGTCCTACTGCATAATCTTTATTAGCTACTTTTTCATAATATTTAAAAGCTAATGAATAGTTTAATGAAGTTTCATTTCCAAACATATAACAAAAACCAACAAAATATTGTGCCAATATATGATCTTGTTCAGAAGCATTAATAAATAAATCAAAAGCCATCTTTTTATTTTCACTTGTTTCAATTCCATAAAAATTAAAAAATCCAAGAAAATTGAATTTGAATTATAATTTTGATTATCAAATAGCCAATTATAAATTTCTTGTGGATTTATGTTTCGATTATTAAAATAATCAATAACTTTCTGTCTTAACTTATCATTATTTCTCTTATTATTTACCACTTCAAAAATAAATTCTGTAATATTATTAACTATTACACTTAACAAATTTTGGTTAATAATTTGATTACTTGATGTCATAGTTCCCATTATTTCTTTTGTATTCATTTTATTGAATTCTTGAGTAACCTGAGATAATTCTCCATGTGATGATTCTTCAATACTATTTAAAACTATATTTTTATTTGTCATTTCTCATCAATATTTTCGTTTCTTTGATTAATTATACCATCTAATCTTTCAACAACTTCTTGAATAGATGGCCATTCTTTGGGTTGTCGTCCCAACATTCTAAAAAAAAATTCAAATTTTCAATTATAATACTATTTTTACAAATAAATAAAAAAGTATTAAACTTACCAGTATAAAGCTTAACGTATTCAATGGGAGTATAAGGAACAGTAGTTTCTCTATGGCCTTGCATAATTTGCACAGCTAAACAACCATCATATGACTCTCCTTCTACATAAAAAGGTGGTTTACCACTTGATATCTCCCACAAAAGTACGCCTACACTGTATACGTCACTCTTCTTATTTAAAGAATATGATCTATTGCTGAATTTCTTTGGATCCATATAAGGAACTACATCAAATAAATCTTTTTTCTTTTTAGTTGACGCTTCGATTCTCTTTGACAATCCAAAATCCGCCAATTTAATAGTATCTTGATTGACTAATACATTATTAGAATGCTATAATAAGAAAATAAATAAATTGTTATGGCAAAATAATATAATTGATAATAATTATTTTATAAATAAATTTGATAAATTATCACCAAATCACGATGTATTATGTCTTCATCATGCAAGCATGATACGGCACTAGCCAACTGGTAAGCAAGTTTAAGTTTAACTTCCCATGTAAGTTTCTCAAAATTTTCTTTCAAATACTTGCTAAGCGAACCACCATCAGCGTACTCCATCACTAAAAGATATGTCTTAATGTTGTCACTTTGATTCTCTAAAAAAAAGAATAAATTTTAAATTTATTGTAATATAATAACATATATTATTTTTTTAAAAAAATATTTTATTTATTACCTTGATCTGAAATAGTAACTCCATGAAAGCTAATAACGTTATTATGGAAGTAACTTCACGTTGAAGCTCAATCTAAATATATAAATTATACATAAAATAAGTTTTTAAACAGAAATAACATATAAATATGCATATTTTATATTCACCTCATGAACAAGTTCCTTAATAGCATCCTCTTCAATATTAAGAAGAGATTTTAACGCAAAATATTGATATGAATTTTCCATTTCGCACGATAAACCTTTCCAAAACCACCAGTACCAATTTCTTGAATATGTTTAAAATATTTATACTCGTAATGCTTAATATGCTTTTTAGCAATAGCTTCATCAATCCACTTAACCCATTCGTTCATTTCAGACATTTTGAATATGTATATAATATTATTATGAAAAAGTTATATTTATCCGAGTACGAAAAAATTTTTTTATTTAAATAAGGTATACACAGCATGCATGCAGATCGATTATTTCAGATCTGACTTTAGTAATCACGTGTAATAAATTAATTCGCTGATCAATTATCAGTTATTCAATTTTTGCGTACTAAACAGTGAATAATTTTAAAATTTTTACTTACAAATAAAATAACATGTTAATAGTTGTTTAACTACCATTTTAATAAAATATTATAACGCTTTATCCTGTCATTGCCCAAAAAAAGAAGGATTCACGCGCAAACTCTGTATTGTGTCACCTTTTTATGTTATTTAACTTGATTAAGATTTAATATACAGTAAGTATATTTGACAATATTAATTAATTAATAAGTACACCGATAATGATAAAATCTTTTTCTTCTGGATTTACCATAAAAGATAAATATATACAAATTTTAGTACTAAAATTACGTTATTCGACATATCAGATATCGTAATTGTTAATTACCGAAAAAAAAATTATCTAGACATTCATTTCTATTCGATAATAGTTAAACTCATTTTTAATCTCAGCATTAAGAGTAGTATTATGATTGTGTCCAATATAATATACCGAAATGATCAATCCTTTTTAAATTTTTTAATAATACTTTACCACAAAATTAAATAACTATATCATTATAATATTTCGAATGATATACTTATTCAAGTAAAAGCAAGAATTCATGATGAATACCACAAGTCCCAATGAAGATTTGTTTTACCGATAAATGAACATACTTTAGTAGATTACAATCATATACAAGAATCCATGTTATTTCATTTACATTCAGCATCGATGCGAGATTAAGAGGTTATGACTTTATATCTTCAATTTTTAATATGAAACGAAGTGCGAGATTTCCTATATAAATTTAGAAAGGTTATTTCACTGCTTTAATTTCAAATCAAATTTTCTTTTCTAAGAAAGATTATAAAACCTTTTCAATGATTCTATATTACATAATAACTCCATTTTAATAAAAACTTCTTTTAACTCAATTGGAAGACATGCAATTAAGGTACTAAACTAAAAATTCAATGTACCATAACTCTAAACAATTCTCCAGATAAATTCTCATTGAAACCCACACTACACTAAAGGATATTAACTACCGTAATACGCAATAATACGGAATAAATTTGTCTTCTAAGTATTCAAAATTCTCGCTCAAGCAATTTTCAGCAGCGATTGTTCACATACTGATCACTCCAAGTAGTTTATTATTTAATGTATTCATGTGTTAAATGTATTATTTGTCGATGTGCATCATACCACACCTTGTGTACACGTTAAAATACAAACCTGATGTGATGTGAGAGGATTAGCTTATTTTACTTAAACAAGCCTTCTCAGTGCAGAGTGTGACATCTGATATTACAGCATATCACATGATTTGAATCAGCGCAGCTAAATAAAAAAAAACCATATTTGAATTTTCAAAGTTACTCAATTTAAATTTCTTTCAGGAAATTACGTTGTTATGCTAAAAGAACCGATCATAATGGAAGTTGCGGATAGATAACAATTTTGTCATCAGTTTTTTTTCATTTTTTTTATTTCTAATGATTTTTTAAACCGAAATTAATATATTCGGGATATATAAATATATATATGGAGACCGATTATTTTAATAAAATCTGTATAACAAAATAACAAGTCCTAAAGAAATAGAACATTTTAATATTGAAGAGAAAGAAACAAAGCAACAAAATTATTATTATTTTTTTTTTGAAAAAAAAAAATTGGCATTATTCGAACAATCAATCAATAAGGTGTAACCTAAAACTTAAAAAGATTTTTCCACAAAAAGTGCGTATACTTTCTTGATAAGTTTTAAAAATTGTATAACGATACAATATAACGAATTCAATAACGAAAACGAATCGAGACAATAAACTAATTATTTGAGCATAATCGTACCGAAACAAAGGATATAAGAAAGATGTAAAGATAATAAAAAAAAAAATTTTTTATATTAAGAATTTTTCTAATTACCGGTATCACCGGGGGTGATGATCACCGGTGACTGAAATTATGATGATCGGCCAGCATTAAAAAAATATAGTGCCGGTAAAAATTGATAATTCTGGGCAACGGTGATGATAACCCCCGGTGATTTGAAATAATAATCTTTTCTATATTTAATGAAATAGTGTAATATATTACGGATCTTTTCGTTGATAAAAAATCAAGCCGTGTTCTGAATTTGGTTTTAATTTTCGAATTTATATTGTTGGTCACACCGAAAATAATACACGAATACAATATGACGATACTGAAACAAACATAAAAGCCCATTTAAATTTATTATATTAGAAATAAAAGATTCAGATAAGGCGCTAAATTTACCATTTATAAGTTTTAGACATAGTGATACAAGAAATTAAAAGGTACAAAATCTCACCTCACAATTGTAAAAACCTTCTAATAATAGTAATATTTTACTTTTTAAGTTATGCAATAAAAATTATCGTTATCAGGAAATATTTAAATTCTAAATTTAAATTATTCACGAGTAAGTGATCGGCACTGCGAATTTTTATATTAGGCCTGACCCTATAAAAAGCGCTGATTATGCACTGCTAACTTAATAAGATTCTAATCCTTCAAGAAGACTAACTATAGGTGAAATCAGTGATGTGGCGGGACAGTGTCCCACAAAATTTTGATTCATTTGTCTCGTCCTGTCCTGTCCAAAATATTGTCCAATTTATTAATATTATATATAAATCATATATCCTCTTATAATGAATTTTTGTCCTGGACATCAACAACATCTTGTCCAAGTCCTGGACTGTCCTGTCCTGTCCCATCCAAGGACATGTCCCAGTCCCCGTCACAACACTGGGTGAAATAGATGATCTATTGTCAAATGATTTACAAAACATTTAAGCAAACTGAAATAAAAAGACTAAAACTAATACAATCGAAGAAAATTGGTCTTTAGTTCTTTGATCTCTATCAATGATTTTATTTAACGTGAAACAAGGTATGAAATATAATTACTAGTATTAATGAAAAAACTTGAAAAATTAATTAGACGGTCGGATAATAGTAATTTGATTTTATATTTAATTTTAGATATACTACAAAAGAATATGGATATGACATAAATAATATTCAAAAGTAATTAATTAATATAATGTGTACTATCAAGTTCATCCATACAAATACAAATTCCGCTACTCAAATCTCAATTGTAACCACTTCAGAAAGCGTAATATTGGAGAATTTAAGATTGAAACATAAAAAAAATAGTAAGTAACTTTTTTTTTATTTACATATAACGAATAATATTTGTAATAATTTATCACGAAAACAATTTATTTATTTTTTTTAATTTAAACAAGAGAATATATCAAAATTGGTAATCTAGATAAAGAATAATAATCAAGACTATTAAATTTATTAATTTTAGTATTGATTCTTTAGATAAGCAAGATCAATTATGTTTATATTTCCTTGATATTCTATATAGATTCTTTTTAAATAAAGTTTAAGTTAAACCAATTACTTGTGTAATTACGATAAAAAATTTTCAAATAATCTGTAATATAAAGGAACTTAATCAAATTTTAATAATCGTCTTTAATTTTGGAATAAAAAAAGATTTAAATATTTTCTATACGTGATTAAGAAAGAAAGCAAATAAAAGGTTCAAATAAATATTTCATATGCATAATATGAACTTAACAAAAGTCAAAAATATGACCTTAAAATCATTTTTTGGGAAATATTTTAACGCACCAATGATTTTATTAAAACAAAATAAATTTTTAAAATAAATTTACAAATTTCAATATAAATTAATCATTTTCTTTTTACACGATGACATAAGTAAAATTTCATATTCGGGGTCGTCCATGGAAATTTTAGGATAAATTGGCCTTTCTGAATGATAAAAAAAAAATAAAATAATAATTTGTCAATTCGGTAGAATTGAAATAGAAAAGTTACAAGATCATGCTGAAATCCTATAAAATTTTAAATCAATTACCTTTTCCATAAAGCTTTACTAATTATTATATAAATTCGGGAGGAAGCAAATTATCATTCTTGACCTTCATATCTGTTACACTATAAAAAAACATTTGAAAATTCCTGCTATTTTAATAATAACGATTCTCCTGTATTTGGCATAAAAAACACTGCCGGACTACATCTATCGCCCTATTGAGTTTAAATTCTGTACGAATTGCCAAAAAAATCGCATGAAAATAATTTATTAATTAATTCAAAAAAACCATTTTAGTATTATAGTATTTACTTGTTATTTAAATTAAATTCAAACAAAATTATTATTTCTCTTATAATTAGAACATCAAAAAATGGTAGTGGTAAATCGATTAACTTGTTAAATAATACTAGTTATATAAATGGCTTTCAAGGATAGTTGAAAATTGCTTGGAAGTTAAATGCAAATTTGAAAAAAATCATGTTAGCATACCGTGACAGTAAAATTTGTTAGAAAGATCGTTTGCTAGTTGTCGATCAACATAAAAAAATCATGCGCGCGAAAATTTTAACAAACTGCCTTACGGCTGATATATTGATCTTGTAATGCAGTAATTAATATGAAATCAATTTTTATTAGTCTGATGTACTATATTATACAATAAAGAAATGTAGTATGCGATAATTTATATATTTCTGATGCGATTATACTCCCGCATAACAAAAACAGCAAAATAAGTAGAGGCAATGGCGTACCTGAAATGTTCTGTTATCCATACTGCAATTGCTGCATGAAGGAAGCCACCCGAGTCTCCAGGTTCAAAGTCGAATGCAAATACCAATTGCTGATCAAACCACACAGTAGATAGCACTGCTAACGCTTTTATTGACTTCCTGAATCAACGGTGTCTTCATGTATCCGATGAATATTTCTTTGCCATCGTTGTCACTACAGGTAGGAATTTTGTCTTGCTCTTTTGCGAATTTTAATGCTTTCATTTGTTAGATCAATGGAGATGGCAACGCCAATAGGAAGTAATTTTCCAAGGGTAAAACCTGTAGCTCTTACTACTTTAAAGATATCAAAATCATCAATGTCATTATCAAATTCTTCACATTTATAAAAACCATTTATACAGGTGTTTCCAGGAAGGTTTGCTTTTTTGAATTTTTCAGGGAGAACTGAGCATTTGTTTGTACATAAAGTACGATTTGTGTTTGTAAAAGTACAATATGCAGCATCGATGCCGGTATGCTTCGGAGTAGTAGTTGTTTCGCATATCACCCTCATAACAAGCTAGAACTGAATTCTGTTTGTTTATTGATTATATTATACATATCTTCTGAAATTTTTTCATACGCTTTATTTTTACTCGCTATACCAACAAGCAAATTATCTAGGTCTTTATGCGAAGGCTGGTGGATTATAATACTAGTCCCAGTACTTGATTCATTAAACTTGCATACGTGTTCACATGGGAGAATGCCAATCTGATCTGAGATTTTATCACGCACAACAGCACTGAGGGTTCCAGATGTTCCCTCAGATTCAAAAATTCCTATACTTGATCCTAACTCAAAGTCCTTCTGATAAACTTGACAAACACCAACACCAAATCCATAGGAACTGCAGCACAAGCCACATCTACTAGATACCACGAATCTTATCCGGGAATTTGTCACATCCGCGGCGCAGAATATCCTTCTGGCGAACATATAGTATAATAGCAGGGATTCCAGTAATCTTGCCTTGAGTTCGCTTATAACCAGTGCTCATGCTGACCAGATTATAGTGTATTTCACGGAAGGACTGCCCCAACTCATTGTCTAAGGCTTCATCGAAGGCCTTCTGCAATTTTTTTGGGATCTTATTAAAGGGTTGGCAGCGGATCATGGGAGCCTTGTCGTCGAATTTCAGTGTTAGCAAACCCTTCCTCCTCTGTTATGAAACGAATCATTTGATCTTCCATGACATTCTCTGTCCTTTTGAATAGGTAAGGAATATTGCGAACTACGTAGACACTCCAAATTGTATCATCATCTTTAAGACTTCGACCCCAGAATATGTCCACGATGTTTTCCTTCACATATAACTGGCGGAGGCGTTTCTCAAGATCATCACCCCAAGTAAGAAATTGAAAAATGATCGATGAAAAGATTATCTTCATTTTTATAAGAAACAAACTTATGATTTTCACCGCCTAAAAATCAACGGTATGACTTATTGGGAAGTTCGTGAAAAAATCTATAAGGGGTAGGTACTTCATCTGGTTTTAATCCTCTTGCTACTCGTATAAATTCTATAAACAAATGATATTTTCCATTTTTAGTACAAGACAACTTTCACGTAATGTCGTAATGTTGCCTTATAAATACAACCTCTGTCTAGATATTCCGCGCTCTTTCCTTCATTTAAAAGTCCTGCCTCAATAGACTCATATGTATCAGCTTAGGTGGTTCGATAATGATGTGAATGTATTTGTCGAGCGGTTTGTCAGTTAATTTTCCTACTTATGAGAAGTTGATCGTTGTCATGAAGTGTAAGTTTATTTAGATCATTATCATCGCAAACTTGAATCTTCTACAACTTAAGCCCACCTGCATCGAAAAAATTAAACTCGGGCATTTTTTTCTTGATGGTTTTCTTGATTTGACCAATACTTTCATTTCTGTTGATACTTAAGGAAAAAGCTTGAGTAATTACGTTCTCTTGAACAAGACAAAATAATGTAAAGTCTTCCATTTGTAGCACAAATGTTAAAATTCTTTTGATGCTCGAACGATGGTGATCCCCGTCTTGAAATCCTAATTGCCATTGCTGAGGTGCATGATTCTCAAAATTATTCTAGATAAATGACTATTTTAGCCGCAATTTCAGTACAAACTATGAGATCACTGATTATTTTTATAGCTGCAATTTCAGTACAAACTATGAGATCTTTGATTAAGAGTCACAAGATTAGTACAGGTTATCACTAGGGCGCAGTGTAAATTACAGCGCAGCATTGTGGGCGAGCGCAAAACAAAAATTAATCAGAAAATTGTCTATATTTGAAAAATAATACATTTATATAAAGTTATGATGTGTTATAAATAAAATAAATATCTAATTTTAATTAATTTAATAAATTATTCATTTTTCATTAATTTTTCCAATTGTTTTTGAGAATTTGAATAACCTTTTTCAGCAGATATTTTAAACCAATAAATTGCTTTACTTATATCTTTTTCAATTCCTTCACCATTTTTATACATATTAGCTAAATTATATTGAGCAATCATACTTCCTAAATTTGCAGCTTTTTGATATGATTCAATTGCTTTCTTCCAATCAACATTAGTTCCAATACCACCACTACAACAAGCTCCTAACATAACAATTCCATCTAAATAACCTTCTTCAGCTGATTTCTTGAATAATTCAAAAGCTTTTTCATAATCTTTTTTAACGCCCATACCATTTATATACTTTTGACCAAGTTTGTATATAGCTACAATATTTCCATTATTTGAAGATTTTTCATACCAATAAATAGCTTTCTTTAAATCTACTTTAATTCCTATTCCTAAATTATAACAATAACCAACATCTAATTGTCCTATTGCATAATTATCATTAGCTAATTTTTCAAAATATTGAAAAGCCAAATTTTCATTTTTTATAATTCCATAACCATTTTGATAACATTTACCAACAAAATATTGAGCCAAAATATGATTTTGTTTTGATGCTTTAACGAAAAAATTGAATGCTTTATCATAATTTTCATCAGTTTCAATTCCATAATAATAAAAATATCCGAGTAAGAAGATAGAATTCATATTATTATTATTATTATTTTGATTTTTTAATAACCAATAATAAATTTCCTTTGATTTTATATTATTATTATTAAAATAATCAAGAATATATTGTTTTCTTGCCGTTTTTTCATTCACATCATTTATTTTATTTGTTGTTTCAAAAATAAAATTTGTAATTCCATCAACTTCCATACTTAAATCATTCGTAATTGTTGATGTTGTAGATTCTAATTCTTTCATATTCAAGCTTAATTCACTTTCATGTAAAATATTTTGATTAATAATTTGTTCATTATTAGTTGATGACGTAGATTCTGTATTATATTCTGTAGATTTTGTACTCGTTAAATTAAAATCTTCATTTTGATAAAGCGTCGTACTTGATTGTGAAATCATTGATTTTAATCTTTCAACAACCCCATGTATAGATGGTCGATTGTCTGGTTCATCGTCCCAACATTCTAAATAAAAAAAAATGTATTTAATTATTGATTTGATTTAAACAAAAATAACAACTATAAATTATTGATTCGATTTAAAAAAAAATAATAACTATAAAAAATAAAAATGTTATAATTACCGGTATAAAGCTTAGCATAATCAACAGGAGTATCGGGGACAATTTTTTCTCTGAGTCCCTGTAAAATTTTCTTGGCCAAATCGTTATCATATGATTCACTTTCAGAATAAAAGGGCGGTTGACCTTTTGATATCTCCCATAAAAGAACGCCAATACTATATACGTTGCTCTTATTATTTAAAGGATAAGATCTTGTACTTAATCTTTTTGGATCGATATAAGGGACAATAGATAAATCTGATTGCGCTTTATATTCGTCATCAATTTTCTTTGATAATCCAAAATCGGTCAATTTGATTGTACCCTGATGAACTAATACATTATTGGAATGCTATAATAAGAATGAATAAATAAAATATGAATTAATATAAATGAATAATAAACAATTTTAAACAAACGATATTAATCAAATAAATTAAAAAATTACCAAATCGTGATGTACAATCCCTTCATCTTGTAAAAATGCTATAGCACAAGCCAACTGATACGCTAGTTTATATTTATCTATCCAAGTAAGATTATTAAAATTTTCTTTTAAATAATTTTTGAGGGAACCACCATCAGCGTATTCCATAACTAATAAATATTTTTTATCATTTTGGTTTTCTATTTTTTTTTTTTAAAAAAAAAGATTTTATTATTATTTGTATATAATAATAACAAATGTATATGTAATTGTTTTATACCTTGATCTGAAGTAGTAATCCCATAAAAGCTAATAATATTATTATGGAAAGCAACTTCACGTTGAAATTCAAGCTAAGAATAAATTTTAATAATTTTTTTTAGAAAATATTTATTTATACAAAAAATAAAAAAATATATCTATTAAAGAATAAAATAAAAAGTTTTTGTAATCACCTCATGAACAAGTTCTTTAATGATAATATTATCAAACTTAAGAAGAGATTTTAAAGCAACATATTGATCCGAATTTTTCCAACTTGAACGATAAACTTTTCCAAAACTACTAATACCAATTTCTTGAATATTACTAAAATATTTATACTCATAATGTTTAATATGTTTCTTGGATACAACTTCTTCTTCAATCCAATTAATCCATTCATTCATTTCAGACATACTGTATATAAATATTACTATATATATTTTTTACCGTGGAAATTTTTTTTTTTTTGTTTTAATTCTAGATTTTCTGAGAAAAGAAATGATTAAATTTATAACACAATTTTACACTAACTAAATTTGTAAAATGTTTTTCAATGTACATAAGTCGATCATTGAGCACCTGACTTTTATTGCGTTTTCGACTGTTAGACTTTTCGTAGTAAGCAAAACGTAATACTATGATTGTTTAATTTTTTTTTTTTTTGATAATTGCATTTCTTTATTAGACAAGTATAAATATAAAAAATTTTACATTTTCACAACTGAATATTACAAAAATATGTAGACCAAGCATATAATTGGACGAATCTATCTAACTACATATACGGATATACCCGTTCGTTCTACACATCAAACAATAGGGATATACTAGAATAGACTGTAATTAGTATGGTTTAATGCTAAATACATGTTTTGATCTTTTTATAAATTTTATTATTTTTGTGATTTTCCAATCTTTCTAATATAAAACCCACGCTACAAAAGATATAATCTATAATTAAACTGTTTATTGAAGAATAAAGTTTAAAAAGTAGATTCTGTATTTTTTCTCTTTTTAACCTCTTTATATGAACCTCCGAAAAAACATCTTGAAATTCAGTTTCTCTTTTTATCATTGGTATCATTAGCTGTTTAAAAGAACCCTTTGTAACAATTTGTCGTGTAAAGTACTGTAGTTACTTTGCTCACCTAAGGATCATTTGATGAAGTCGATGTCATCGCTTCCAGATTTCCTTGGTATACTCTCGTAAGACTAAATAAGTACTATAAATAATTATAAATTATGTATTATATTTAAATTAGATCTTATATTTTGCCATATGATTCTATAGTTTTTCGAGAATAAATTTATCCACCACAATTTCTATCATCTCATCTATCTTTACTGTATCTTTGCTATCCTTACTAACATCTCCTTTACCATCACATCTCACTTTCACTTTCTCTTTATATGCTTGATATAGGATAATAAAAAAATAACAAATACTTCTTTTTGATTAAATTAAATCATGATTTTTTGTCAGATAATTTATAATAAAGCTTTTTTATTGGAAACATGATAATATTTTTTTTTTAATGACTTAATATATATTAATGAATTTATATTTAACTTACAAGTAATTTTCATAGTCCTTCAAATATTCTTAAAAGTCGTAATATAACTAATCGATTTATTTAAAGTGTAAAAAACAATCGTTCATCCTAAAAATTTAGATGGATCACCGTCATTTGACCATATGTTTATCACGGTGTAATACATGTGCAACCGGGACTCGAATAAATTTTTTGCTGCTTAGAAGTTCGATCACTTTTCAGTTTTCAATATTATTAAACTTTGTAAAGATGTTAGACAATTAGAAAAACCTAACGCAATAAATAATCATCTGGAATATTTAATGTATCCTCAAATAAACGTAAGACCCTGACAGAAAAAATAGCGAGTAGAGATTGTATAGAACCCGTAGCGCTAATTTTAAGAAAACACGATTCAGCTTATACTTAGAAGCTTGCTGATGAAGCTGTTAAAAATTATAAGGTCATGAATTCTTTGTATAGGATTGAACAAAAGTTGGTGCGCTTCTTCTGCACTCATCGCTACTTTAAATTCGGGGAAATATCCATTGCTTTCAGTAAGCATACCAGCGGAAATGGGAATTGATTCTCTGCTTTTACCTTGTAATATAATACTCGCATTTCTGGGATTTTGTTCACAATTAGGCCGTCCGTTGATTTGGTACCACAACCGGCCGAGTCTCTTGCTTAATCTTGTAATATTTCAATTGTGATATATTTCCTTTGATTACCTTTGATTTACACCCTTTCACTTTCAATAGAAAGAACGTCGATCCTAAGCTGTCGTCAATTTTTTGATTTTTGGTAAAATGTTGACGACCTACGGAAGAGAGAAAAGCTTTTGAGATTTATCTTTGATGCACTTTGATTTGCTGAACTAGCAATATTTCTTTAATCAATAATCTATATTGTATTGTCGAGATGGATTAATCATAGACGTATGTCGCCTTTTCTGAGACCTTCACTTAAATATACTCTATTTGCGTCACGTCCAAAACAGAAAATGATGACTCAATTCATAAGTGATGCAGAGGATGATTTGATCCAAAGATGATGACGAGTCCAAAGATGAAGGAGATTATTCTCGAAGGATGGGATGATGTAAACTTGTAGACTCCAAAAGTGAAGCGATTTTGTACAAAAAATTATGCAAATTGCATCTAACTACCTAAGCGTGAAATGTGAGAGTATTAATAAAAAAAAAATAACAATAATAATTAATATATCTATAAAATTTACATATTAATAAACATATGTATACTTATTACCTAAATAAAATTGCATTAAAAAATGTGCTAATTGTCTACATAAAAAATATATATGACTTTTATAACTCCACTTGTTAGTACGTCATTTTTGTACATAATTTTTTTTTACCTGTTTTAATGATTTTCTTGGTTCCCATTAATCTTCCTTTAAACTTACCATCAAAATACTCTAGTACAACGCTTCAAGTTTTGATCCTCAAGATATAATGATACAAAATGGACGTATTTTATCAAGATCTATAACTTTGAAACTTAGAGATCCTTGTTTTTGTTGTAACTTGTATGAAGATTAAACAAAGAAGAATTAATTATATTACGTTAATTACGTTACAATTTGTAAACTATACCTCCCAGATCACATCTTTAAGGAAAGAACACCAGTAACCATGATATACCTTAAAAATATTTATTTATATATATCTTTTATTATATTTCGATTTGATATCTTAAAATAGGCTTACAAATAAATTTTTTTTTAACTTTTTAATAATCTATCCAACTGTTTTTGAGCATTTGAATACCCTTGTTCAGCAGATACTTTGAACCAATGAATCGCCATTTCCATATTCTTTTCAGTTCCTTCACCATTTTTATACATGTTAGCTAAATTATATTGAGCAATCATATTTCCTAAATTTGCAGCTTTTTCATAACATTCAAACCCCTTCGTCCAATCAATATTAGTACCAATACCACCATTATAACAAACTCCTAACATTACCATTCCATCTAAATACCCCTTTTCAGCTGATCTCTTGAACAATTCAAAGGCTTTTTCTAAATTTTTACTGACGCCCATTCCATTTATATATTTTTGACCAAGTTTATACGTAGCCGCTACATTTCCGTTATCTGAAGCTTTTTCATACCAATGAATAGCCTTTTCTGGATCTTCATTAACCCCTAATCCTAGATTATAACAATAACCAACTTCTAACTGACCTATAGCAAAATTTTCATTCGCTAATTTTTCAAAATATCTAAAGGCCATACTTTCATTTTTTGTAGTTCCATAACCATTTTGATAACATTTACCAACAAAATATCGAGCCAACATATGATTTTGCTTTGATGCTTTAGAGAAAAAATTGAATGCTCTATCGTGATTCTCAACAGTTTCAATTCCATAATAGTTGAAATATCCAAGTAAGAAGGTGGCATTCATACTACTGTACTGATGTTTCAATAACCAATCATGAATTTCTTGAGAATTTATATTATTATTTTTAAGAAAATCAAGAATATGTTTTTTTCTAAATGATTTTTCATTAACTTCATTTATTCTATTTGTTACTTCAAAAATGAATTTTATAATTTCCTCAACTTCCGCGTTCTGAGGTGGCTCAATATCACTTGATGACATTGCAGATTCTACTGCATTCAAGTTTAATTCATTTTCAGGTAAAATAAAACCTTGCTTATTACTCGTTGATGTAAAAGTTTCCATATTCATTTTATCAAAACTTCGAATGATTTGAGATAAATCTCCATGAGATGCATAATTTTCCGCGCTATTCATAGTCATATTTTTACTTGGTATTTGATCACTTTCAATTTGTTGTTGAGATGTCGTATCCGATTGTGAGACCATTGATTTTAATCTATCAACGACCTCTTGAATAGATGGCCTTTTATCTGGATCACCATCCCAACATTCTAAATAAAAAAATATATATATATATATTTAACTACTAAAATAAATTAAAGAGTAAATATAATTAAATATTAAACGTCATACTTACCACTATAAAGTTTAACATAATCGGCAGGGGTACCAGGAACGGTTGATTCTCTAGAACCTTGTAAAATTTGTATAGCTAGACTAGCATCGTATGATTCGCCTTCTACATAAAATGGTGGCTGACCTTTTGATATCTCCCACAAAAGTACGCCAATACTATATACATCACTCTTTTTATTTAAAGAGTATGTTCTTGAGCCGAATCTTTTTGGATCAATGTAAGGGACTACACCAAATAATTCTCTTTGAGTTTTAGATGCATCACCAACTTTTTTTGACAACCCAAAATCTGCCAATTTGATGTTTCCCTGATGAACTAATACGTTGTTTGAGTGCTAATAACGAGAAATAAAAACAAATTAAGTAAATAATGCGATATATATGAATAACGTAATAACTAAATGATTATATTAAACAAATAAATTATATTACCAAATCACGATGTACGATTCCTTCATCGTGTAAGCACGCTACAGCACAGGACAACTGATACGCAAGTTTACATTTGTCCTTCCAAGTAATATCCTTATTTTCTTTTAAAAATTTTTTGAGGGAACCACCATCAGCGTATTCCATCACCAATAAGTATTTCTTAAAGGCCTCATGTTGATTTCCTAAAAAAAAAAAAAAAAAAAATATGAAAATATGTTAACTTTATGAAGAACAAAAATATCACCTCATTAACGAGCTCTTTAATAGCGATATTATCAAGGTTAAGAAGAGATTTTAACACGAGATATTGTTCTGAACTTTTGTAATTAGCACGGTAAATTTTACCGAAGCCACCAACACCAATTTCTTGAATATTACTAAAGTACTCATACTCATAATATCTAATATGTTTTTTAGAAATAGCCTCTTCTATCCAATTTGCCCACTCGTTCGTTTCAGACATAATTATATATATATTATTATTACAAGTATTATTTTTAATTTATTTGAGCACGAAAAAAAGAGAGCATGAAAAACATTTTTTTTTTTTTTGAAAAAAAAAAATCATAATATTTAACTATTTATATCAAGTTTTTGTTTCCAAGTATGGTAATTACATGAAATTACACGAAATTCCTTGTAAAGTTATAAACTGCCAAAATCAATCAATGTTTTTTAGATTTAACCCTTATATGTATTCCCGAAGACTGATTGCAGCAGTACCGTTCAACTTGTGACCTGGTCATTTGCTGAGATTTAACCGCATATATATATATTAGTTTTTGATTCACAAAAAAAAGATGAATTATTGTGAAAGGGAAAGATAGCTGCTTAACGAATCGGAATTTACGTTGTAACATCCAGATCACAAATAATTAAAAATAAATATATATATATACTGCATAATTTATTATAAGTTGTACCGAATATTATGATAGTATGAAATGGTTAACTTTTAGTGTTTGGCGTAATTAGCCAACCCAAATAAAAATTCCTTATAATAAAAATTTTTTTATTTTTTATTAATATATATTATTATTAATATATTATTAATATTAATATTAATATTAATATTTTATAATTTTAGAATTTACATATCAAAATTTTTTACAATCCTAAAGTAGACAATTGTTAATGTTACCATATTGAAAAATTACCCTTTTCGGTTTAAAATTGTGGCTTGATAGAATAGGCATATATACTGTAATATTGTATAACCTTGTTTAATCTTGTATATATAGATAATTAATCAAATTCGGAAGTCAATCAATCTTTTATTTTAAGATTGCGTAACGAACGATATAAGCGAACTGTTTTTCTTTTACTTTTAATATACAAGTTTATTCTCTATATATATACAAAGAATAGAACGTAAAGACTTTAATAAATATGTTTAAAATATACTTCCATATATTTTTATATAATATGTAACACATATTATTGTTGAGATCGTACCTTGCAAGACAACGCGATCACAATTTATTTTGTGCAAGAAAAAACAGTGAGTAAACTTTTTTTTCTTCCTTTTTTTGTGTATAGTTTTATTTATATTTACACCAAGAATGAAATTAAAAATAATCTTTTATATCACTAATATAATATAAAATATTACTAATATATTATAAAATATTTTAATACCTTTTTTATTATCACGTTCACGCTTCTTTTTTTTCAACCCTTACTTCGTATTTCATTGTATATAAATATATCGTGGGATTTTTATGCTTTAGTTATTTATTATTTATCACAATAATTTGTAGAACTTGTTGCCACTTTTTATTCGTTAAAAGGTTTTAATTGTTGTTATTTTATTTTATTAATTTTATTTTTATATTTTTATTTATTTATTTATTTTTATATTGATTGTGATATTTTTTATACACTACAAACAATATTAATTTTAATATTAACTGTCATTTTTTTATTACACAATAGTTTGACTTTTGGCGTATGACATGCTTAATAATAGGGCTTATTAGCGGAAAGATATTTTTCGGTAAAAAATCTTGATCACGTGACTTGAGTCTATTGGGTTGATTTTGTGTTACATCCATTCCTTAAGTTCTTTTTTATTATTAGTGTATGGTTATTTCTATTTAGTTAGGTGATATTACTCTTATAGGCTTATTAGATGTATACGTTCTAATTTACGTGTCGTTCATGTCCCCGCTTTTTATTTATGATTCCTGTTACTTTATTGAATAAAATCGTCAACATTATACAAACTATTAACAAATTGTGTTGTAGAAATGTAATAGATTATACTTTCTAAACCAGATTTACTAGTGACAGTTGTCTAGTTGTCATTTAGCTGCTGAAGCTAAATTATTTTACAAAATAAATGGTCTTCCACTAAATGCTACTAAAGCTATTAAAGTAATTGTTGTTATTAACATGATCTCGTAAAGGTTACAATAAATGATTATTATTATTATAAGTACTTAACAGAAATATTGAATTTATATAAATAATCTGGAAAATTATATACAGTAAGTAGATCATTATTATTAAAAAGTAAACAACTGCTATCAAAATCTAACCAATGATATTGATCACAACTTTATTTTTCACTTTAGCGGCAATAATGGTATTAGTCTTTATTTACGCCACTAAAATTAATTAACGCTTAAAATATTGTTCCCCATACAATTGTAATACTTTTGTCAAATATTATCTTTACTTAATAATTATCATCCTGTATAATCCAGAAAAATACCTGATTTTTTAAAACAATTATAGTTACCTTAAATATTGTTATTAATATTAATTAATAGATTCTTACCATATTTTAGCGGTTGACTACAGATTTCGATTCATTTGATTATTAATATGTTATTGGTTGATTATTGGTTTAAGAGTTTTCATTGACCTACCAAGCTAATCATGTGATTATTTCAGTACATTCATTTTATTGGTTAGAGAATAACAATTCGAAATTTGTAAAAGAAATATATTTTTACTGATGATACAAAACCCGCATGAATAGTATTAATAAATATTAAATATTAATATTTCGTATTTTATTCTTAATAAAAATTTGACCTTTGATCCTGATCACAAAATTTCTGTAATTATTGTAAATATGTAAATCACACGTGATGTAAACTTCCGGCGTTGTTGTCAAAAGATCCAAAATTTTCAAAATAATTAAAGATTTACGTGCGTCATATTAATAATAATATAAAGAAAATACTGTAATGTATATAAAAAACGGTATTCCCTGATATCACAGATTACATTATAAATATTATTTATATTATCGGGTTAAAGTTTTGCTGCGTCATCATATTTTACCCCCAAAAAAAGTATATTTATCTTTATTTCTTTCTGCAATTATGAATGGTTAACGAGTTAAAATCATTGATTTTATGTCTTTATTGATATATCGGGACAAACCCCGTGACATAACCTCCCTTTTGATAAAATTTAGTAAAGAAATTCAATAAATTTGTTTATGGCGTATAAAAATAATTACATAAAGAATACAAAAGAACAATACGATCGTCGAAATGTGAACTTTTTTCAGATAAATAAAATTCCGTATAAGGAACAAGAATAGGGACAAAAAAATTTTTTGAAAGAAAACTTTAAATTATTATACATGTATACTCGGTTAACAGTATTTTAAATTGAATATATTAATTAAAGTTTAGTGATGTTTATGTATAAAGAATCTTGTGTTTACTTTGATTACTTTCATCACTTGATTATTAGCAGGATAGGTAATTTATTCAATTTTTTTATTTGAAAAAATTGTTATAATTTGGTAAATCATAATGCATATTGGCGCTGTTATCTTATTTTAGATAAATTAGTTTTTTTTTTAAAAAAAAAACCTAAATGAAGAAAGTATCTTTATCAAAGAAATATTGTTAAATAAAATAAATTATTTCTATTATTTCTCGAAAAAAAATAAAAATAAATTAAATTAAAGTAAAATAAATAATAATACCTTTTATTATTTTCTTTATTTCTTTCTTTTTTTTTTAAAAAAAAACAAAAATAATTTGTTATTGAAATTTCTTATTTTTTTCGCTTTGTCATTGCATTGTCACACAGATCTTCACACAATTGATTATATGATTTAGTTTTCTCATTAATAATTACTTCAAATAATACTGCATAATGACAATTGGCGCAAATATTTCGTGTGAGCGATTCTAAACCATAAATTGTGCGAGGTCCCAGAGTCGGGTATCTGATTTTAACTAAACTTGAAAAGGTGAATTTCATATGGATGTATTCATTCTTTATCGTCTTCTAAATTACCTACGCTCAGTTTTAGCAAAAATAATTTTCCACATTAACTATTTGATTACATTTAATAATTCATTCTAGTTTAAAGGAGTTCTTGGATAAAAAAAATATATTCATTGTACTCATATAATTCACAGCAACTCCGATGAATCAAAAAGAACTAAACCAAGTCAAGAAGCCAAATTACTACTATGGATTAGAAGTAAGTAGATAAGATTCTATAAATCCTAATATATACCGTACAATTAAGGGTATTAATGTTGAATTTATAGTTATTAATTATTTCTAGCATCAAAGTAAGTTGGAGTAGCGGTTGTATTATTACAAATACAGTGTTGCAACGCGTGCTGCAACTAATACACAAGGTTAATTAAAAATTTTAGTGTAATTCGACAATACAACGTTTTAACAAATGTTGTGACATTGCGTAGATTTCAAAATAAATACAACCGCAACGCTAAAGTAAGTCAATAAATTGTTAATTAACGTTAAGTCGTACTTCTTCCTTTATCAATTATACTCTATTCGGTTTTCTGTTCATTAACATCACACTCATGGTTCACTTACAGATGTCAGATGAGACTGTGTTGAAATCTTATGAAGGAGTATGACGAAATTTTCGAAAGTGATCTCTAACTGAAAGAGTTAATAACACAGGCAAGGAATGCTGGGCGAAATATATAGACGAATATGATGAGTATAACCGGAAATCTGGGATATCCTCATCGAAGAAGTAAAACAACTCGATGGTATCGTGCATAGGTCGAACCACTATGAACTGTACATGACAGACGCCATAGAACAATTCATCAGGTTTTCATTACCTAATTCCATGGATTCTACTATAGATGAAGTACCGTCCAAAGATAATTTTTCTGGTAATTACTAATATTAATTCATAAACTTAGCTTAACATATATTTAAACTGACTTAATCTTTAATTTCAGAATATACTCATGAAGAAGTTAAGGAACCTGATCATTACAATTCAATGTACCGCATATAATAGTCCCCAAGGAATGATTTAATAGGGTCGTTTTTGTTTTCGTGTTTACTTTATTGTATACTGTATTTATTTATAATGTATTTATGTATTTGAACATTATCAATATTAATAAAATTTAATGGTAGGATATTCCACTTTTACTTACTACTGTTATTTAAGATTTTGACTTTTGAGAATAAAAATTTGCGTAGCATGAAACTTATATTGACATCTTTTGAGGTTATAGTATGTCTAGGGATATAGTAATGTACTATATAAAA